CCTGTCGTGGTGTGGAGCACAGGGAAGCACATGAGGTTTGCAGGCCAGGTCACCTGGCACAATTTCCTCCAGCTGCTCTGGGGTTCCTGTGTTGTGGGGGAGTGCCCTTGGCAATGCCTTGCACTGAAGTCTTCCCTCTTCAAAGATGAAGTCCACCCTCCTGGTCCTGGTCTGTTGTCTCAGCCTCTGCAGTTCAGTCAGCCCACACCTCACCAGCCTGGATGGGTGCATCTTGTGTCATCTTTGAGCCCCTTCCCTGGCAGCCTTGAGCTTAAGCCTCTGTGTCTAGCGGCTCTCCAGCGCTGATGTGCCCAGACCTGAACTGTTTTGATCATCAAAGCTGAGTTCCTGCAGCCCTGCACAGGTGGGAATTCAGAGACACAAACAGGCAGGCACTGCAGTCGGATTTGCTGCTTAGGCTGATTCTGTGCTCAGAAACTGGATGAGCTCATGTGTTGCTCTAGAATGGTGCTGCCTGAGTAAAGCACCCAAGAATTTTTTTCCTTTGCAAAAGTGGGTTTCTTCAGGTTTGTCTCACTCTGGCTAAGGGGCATCTTGGTACCTGGAGCTTCCTCCCTGCTACAAATGTGCTGGCCAAATTGCCCCCAAATTTTGAATAAACGGACTGAATTATCACAGGAATGAGCAGAATTCTTTTCTCCAGTCCTAAAAGCATTTGTTTCTGAGGTTCCTCTAGTTTCCATACATCCTTTTTAGTACAGGGACAGTAGCGATGCTGCAGAGCCTTGTGCAGAAGGGTAAATCCAGTCCTGGATAGAGTGTCCAGAGCTGCAGTGCCCTGGGAGGCTGAGCTGAGAGGCAGTTTTGCTCAGTGGAGTTAAAAACACTGAATTGTCATGTGCCTGCTGTCTCGTGCTGCAAGGCATCAGTCTCGAGAGGATTTGGCTTTAAACTTTCTTCCTGTTCATTAAAGTTTTTGTAATAGGACTTAGCACTGGACTCTGTGGAGTCCCCTAAAATGACTGGTTAGTGATGATCTCATGTTAGTAATTTGTATTACTGGGTGTAACTGGGCTTAGGTCATTTATTGGGTGCTCTGTTGATGTTTTATCATGCCAATTTTTAATCAAAATGCTTTGTGGTATGTCATGTGCCATATCAAAGGCCCTTATATCTACAGTTATTTTCATTAACCTGGTGAAGCTGTTCAAATAAGAGAATCAGGGATTTTGCTAAGATGACCCAGTAGGTTATGTGATGACAGCTGATCTCCATGAATGCAAAAGAGCTGTGCCGGGGCCAGGTTCTGGTCGCCTCTTTGAAGCCAGTGGGGGCACTGGCCTGGCTGCCACCGGGCCCTCCAGGACAAAAGCAAGACCCAGGGCTGCCTGAGGTCTGGGAGGGTCAGTGGGAGACACCCCTGGCAGCCACAAGAGCTGCTGCCCATGGGGCTTGTGACTGTGGGATGCTGGGGCAGGGGGCATGTGGGGTGAGTGGGACTGCTACGGGCTGTTTGGGGCAAGGGAAGCCCTGAGGGGGGAGGAACAATCATGGGAAACGGGCATAGAAGGGGACAGTTGTGTGTAAAAAAGAAATAATTATGGATCACCACGAAGTGATCTTCTTTTCTAGCTGTTTTCCTGGGTGCATGGGCTCTTTCTACTGTGCAGAGGGGGGTGTGGGTCTGAGTGCCAGCAAAGGGGGAGACCAGCATGCTGGGGATGAATGCTTACCTCAGTGGGTACTCGCCAGCAAATATTGAGCTGGACTTGCTGGTGAGCAAGCAAAGAGGTTTGGGAACCAGGTTTTGATGTGATCTGGGACAGATCCTGGAGAGACCAGAGGTCTGAGAGTACGTTACTGAAGGCACTGGGAAGCTCAGGCTCTAGGGGGATGTGGTCAGCTCCGCTGCAGATACACAGGAGGCACAAAGAAACAACAGCAGGAGGAGTAATTTGATAATAACCTGACCTAGCTACTCCCAGGCCCATCAGAAGAAAAATGCCATCCCCTCAAAGGCCAAGGTCCAAAAATGCAGGTGGCCACAGAAGTAGAAGAGCAGGCATCGGGTGGGACTCAAATCACAGCCAACCCCCCCCCCAGCCCATGCCGGGCCTGTGCCAGGAGCCATCAGCCCCACAATCCAGGCGTGACGCCCATCACCATGCCTCATCAGGAGCTCTCTGGATCACCTTGTGAGCACAGAAGGGTGGCTGCCTAGGGGTGCAGGACACATTATGGGATGCAGGGAAAGGACACATTATGGGATGCAGCGAAAGAGCACTTGGGGATATCACAGGATTTATTATGGGATGTTTAGGGGAGGAACCAAAGGTAGGAAAAGGGAGGGCTTTAGGAGAGTTGGGGGACAAGTGTGGGAAATAGAGGCATAAGGGAATGAAAGGGTCTATTTTCATGTAAGCAGGGACTAGGCAGTACACAAGTTTGGCCGTGCTCTGCCTGATCACCACAGTCTGTCCTGTCACCTTATTCCACCTTTGACTACTTACTTTCCTCCACATGAGTATGGGGGGGACAGGAGGAGCAGCTGTGGTGCCAGCAATGCACGCACATGTGTGTGTGAGCACTAGCAAAGAGCAGCTGTACCAACTGGGCAGTATGTGATTGGGGCCTGGGAGCAAGGGAGTGAGTGGGTCTCTAAGGGCAGCTCTGGGTGTGGGAGCAGGGGTGGGGTGGAGGTGGGAGGGTGCCTGTGGGACCACAGGAGTCCTGGTTGGCTCTGGGTGTGAGTGTGCCTGTGCATCTCCAAGGCAAGACCACAGGCAGGGAGAAGGGTGATGGTGTAGACGCCAATCAGTGCCAGTCCTGGGAACTGTGCTGTAAGATGCTACTAGACTCTGCTAAACTTTAAGCGCTAAATGTTCAGAAGCAGCTTTCTCTCCCAAGGATGCTGCAGGGGAGTCAGACCAGTAGGCAGGATCCCACTTGCCTGAAACCGCACACCCCATCTGGCCCAGGGTGCCCACCTATGGCCCGTGGTATTGCCACATGGTGCCTCCACACTGGCCTGGCTGCAGGAGTCATCTGTGGTGGAGATCAGGACCCACGCCCTTGAGCTGCTTGGCCCCAGAAGCTTGGGGGACAGCAGCCCCCAACCCTGCAGCCAGTCCAGGGCATTCTTTAGGGGCAGCCTGGCTGCCTGCAGGTAGGGTGGGAGGCTACAACTACCCCTGTGCATGGAGGCACCAGGTTGGCCACCACTGCCTTGTCCTCATCCACAGGTAGAAAGGGGTGCCCTGCAGCTTGTGCCAGCATCCCATGGGGTGTGAAGACTATGCAGGATGTGGAGCACCACAGCTATGATGGTGCCAGGGGCCAAATCAGGCCCCGCCCCCCCCCTCCCAGGGGCTCCCCCACAGAGGAGTGCGGGGCTGCAC